GTGGCGGCGCAGCGCCACCCGCCACACTCGCGGAGTTCAAGCTCGACGGCGCCGACGGGAAGGACTTCTTCGACGTGAGCCTCGTCGACGGGTACAACCTGCCGATGCTGGTGGTGCCGCAGGGGGGTTCGGGGGATAACTGCACGAGCACGGGATGCGCGGCGGACCTGAACGGCGCCGCGTGCCCGGCGGATCTGCGCGTGGAGGGCGGCGGCGCGTGCATGAGCGCGTGCGATCGGTTCGGGAAGGAGGAGTACTGCTGCAGCGGCGCGTACGACAGCCCCGCCATCTGCAAGCCGTCGGAGTACTCGATAACGTTCAAGCGCGCGTGCCCTAGCGCGTACAGCTATGCGTTCGACGACGCGTCCAGTACCTTCACATGTACCGGGGCCGACTACACCATAACGTTCTGCCCGGCGCCGAATACGAGGTAATTTTACCGTTATGCCCATTTCCTATCCTGTCCTTTTTGGATGGGTAATTTCGTCCTTTCATTGACTCAGTAGCTCGTTTCTAATAATAGCTTCAGTTATGAAATCGCTGTTCTGCTTTAGCGCTTTATTAAATATTTAGACAAAAAATTATGATAGCGCAGAGCATTAATAAATATTATAATCAGAGATTTACATGATTCCGTTGGCCGGATTATGTAAGATAGTCAATTAGTGTTCCCTTATGGATCCGGAAACCGGAACGTCGTTGTACAAAAAAAAAAAGAACGCTAATTTTGAAAAATTTGACCAATACCCATATTTGTTTTTGAGATTTTGAGTATCGCTTTAAAGATTGAAAAATTTCAGAGCCTTATGATATGGGACTGATATAATATTTGGTGATGTTGACACTTGATCAAAAGGATCAACCTTTTAGACATTAAATATTGAGAGATTCTATGTCCCGTTAGAGAACCATTTCGTCCCGTTAGAGAACCATTTCGTCAGGATTTGTAAACGTTATATCATGATGACCTACGGAATAGTTGCAGCGGGACTGTAGCATTTCCCTTAAATATTATTTAAATTCACAATGAACATTATTTAATAAAATTTACAATTATTTTTAGTTGAAAAAAAAAAAAACTGCCTTCATCAGGTTTTTTACTGAAAATTGTCTTAACTCTTAACTTGAAGGGTCGAATTTGCTGTTTAGTTGATCATCATAATCATGGCCTAATTTAATAATTTTTTATTATTATTTTACAGCAAAAAATCGTCTGGAGTGCCGATCCCAGGATCCGGAGGCGGTGACAGTAGCAGTAATTTACCGTTCGACGGCAACATGGTCTATGAGGGCGCGTACGAAACAAGCTCGGCATCGATTCGCACGCGTGCGCGTGTGCTAACCGGAGCTATCTCCTTCACGGCGGCTGCGTGGCTGTTGGGCCTTCACCGTCTCTTCTGAACCGTTTTCGTCTTTCATGGGTCCCAGCTAATATTGTTGGATGTCTGGGTGGCCCATCGGGCCTCCCTCTTGTGGGCTTTCCCTGTGGGTATTCGCGTGGAGCACGTTACGTTCCATGTCATCATGGGCATAGCCATCAACAATTGACAGCCCAAATTTAGTTAAAGATGGGGGAAAGGATGAGGAGAAAGATAGTCTAGATAGACTTGAGGATTAGTGGTAGGAGATAAGAGAGCAAAAACACACCACATATCTTAATTTATTTTTTAGATTTTATTGATAAATTTACTAATAAGATTTGAGGGTGTGAAGATTGTGATTGGTTTAGCTGGCTGCGACTTACGAGAGCATATATTGTATCAATTTTATTAGATGAAAAATTAGTAGGAGTAATAATCTATCATCACTTAGTGGTGGTCCTTAGTGTATTATGATTGATTGCACAATAAAATGGTTGAAATAAATGTGTATTAATTTGTTTAAATGATAAGTTAGGGACTATTATGAGATGTGGAGCGATTAGAGGCGGTGACTAGTGAGACCCAAGATAGTACTATGGTAGAGTTAAATAGGCGAAAACCGACACAAGTGTTCTACATTTGTCTGATACAATTCAGCTGGAGAATAGAGAAAATGCTCGATAATTAATGCGAATGAATCGAGCCTGAGAAGGTTGCTCGTCTAATCATCATCTCGCGGTCGGGCAAGCCAACATATATCGTGACGATTAACACAGTACACCCAACACAAAATACGATTAGTCTTGAATCGAATCGTCGTGCATCTTTGAAAAGTTGAAAAATCCAAAACATTTCATGATGACTCTCACTTTGCTTAGGCTCACTCTTTTCTCACATCCACGTACATTTGGTATGTTTATCAATCTTTTCCCATTTGGTGTTGCATCATAAAGGCAACATCTTTAATGTCCGGCGTAAAGAAAAAGTATGAACAACTTTTATTTTATTTCGTACGTGTTCATCCATATGTGCCACGTTGAATTGCCAAGCAAAAATTCACACATGGGTTGTTACGTGTTAATAGTTCTACTTTTTTTTAAAAAAAAAAAAAAATCCTTATTCTAATTATGTCCTATTTTCAAGAAAATGCAACATTGAAAAAAAAAAATGAATAGATTGAGTTAATTTTGGGAAAAGTTTGATTCAATAGAGATTTGAGTTGAATTTTGAATTTGTCTTTGAATATGAATTAAAATATAAGGATTAAAGTTGATGTGATGCAAAAGTATGAGAAGACCTGATATACGGAAGTTTTTCAATATATGACCTGAAAGATAGGTAAACTATCAATTTGGGGCCTGAAAGATTTTTTTTCTCAATTTGGGACCTGAATGTTATAAAACTATCAAATTAAGTCCTACAATTAACAACACTCATAAAACCACTAAATTGAGAGTTAATTTTAAATTTTAAAACACTAAATTTGAAGAAAAATAAGTAAACATTTGCATAATATTAAAAAAAAAAAACATATTTGGTGTTTTAAAACTTAAAATTAGCTCTCAATTTAATGGTTTTATGAGTGCTGTTAATTGTAGGACTTAATTTGATTGTTTTATAATATTCAAGTCCCGAATTGAGAAAAAAAATCTTTCATGCTCCAAATTGATAGTTTACCTATCTTTTGGGCCTTGTATTGAAAAAAACTACCCAAAAAAATTATTTGACCAATCAAACCAGTCAAAATTTATTTCTAAATTCATAGATCTTCACAAATATGGGCTCAAGTTTTGCATCCACGCCATGATTTGTTTAGTCATTTCTTTTTAGAATTGTGGAGTTATCAGGTTTGAGAATGATTGATCTGCAAATTGGGTTTTGTGTTTAGGATTGGAAACTTCTGGATATAGTCTCCTAAGGTCGATGCCACGTGTCCTTACCCATTTGAGAATTTTATTCCCCTGAGATCCTATTATATCCTATATAGCCTTTTTGTG